AACGCGGGGGCTGGGGGGGGGGGGGGTGAAGTAATGGAGGCATGGACACAAGGCATGGCATACGTGGATGGTGGAGGTGATGGATAAATACCGATCACACACTTGGCAGACAATAGGAGGGATGTCAACACTATAAAAGACCATCTTGTCTCCCCTTATGGACATCATTGTCTAGTTCACTAAATCCTACCTAGCATGGTGGTGTCTAGAGGTAGCCATGGATCGGTTCAAGGTCGAACCAGCTCTGAATCGCCCAAAAAAAAAAATAACAGGCCTGGGTTGGGTTTAACTTAGACTTGAATTGGCTTATAAAGGGCCGGTTCAAGTCCTATAGTCCTATAAAATCCTATAAAAAATAACCTAGAGCCCAGCTCGAAACCGGCCCAAGCCTAGGCACGAGTCTAGGCTTAGAAAAAATCTAACATGGACTTTATAAATTACTATACACTTTATAATATTTATAAGTTACTAAATAATATTACTAGTCTTATAAAAATTTTAATAGTACAAGTTCAAATGTTATTAAAGTCTTATAAATTTTTAATTTTGTAGAAAATTATATTATTTTTTATTTTGAGATATATATATATATATATATATATATATATATATATATATATATATATATATATATGGAAGGGTTCAGATGCAGGAATGATTTCCCGTGGGGTTGTGCGGTTGGACGCACCTTAAGCATTAAAATGGTGCACCCTAAGTACACAAATCACCACGCACCTTAAGCTCACAAACAAAGTACCTTAAGGGTCCGTTTGGAAACCAGGAAATGACTTCTGGAAAATGAGTCATTTTTCGGAAAACATTTTTCCTTTTCCAGTGTTTGGTTGCATTTGGAAAACTGTTTTGGTGTGTTTGATTCATTTTCTGGAAAATGAGTAGAATTGTATAATTAAATATTTTAATTATTTTATTTAGAATATAAAAATACATTGTATATATTTGAAAAAAAAAAAAAAAAGGTTCTGCTATCCGCAAGAAACCATAGCTATGGTTGGTTTCCGGAGGAACTGGTTTCCGCCAGAAACCTTTAAAAAAAAATGAAACAGTAATGGCGGAAAATGACTTCCGCCGAAATGGGCACATTTTCCCAGTCAACGGAAAATGTTTTCCGTTGACTGGATTTTCCAAGTGTTGCCAAACACCAAAAACCCAGAAAATGATTTCCAGAAATAATTTTCCGGGTTTCCAAACACAGCCTAAGAACATAAATCATTCACCCCTTAAGTACATAAATCACGCACCTTAAGCACAGAACAAAGCATCTTAAGAACACAAACCACGCACCTAAGATTGTAAAATGGCTCACATTAAGCACAGAATCCACACACCTTAAGCACAGAACTCACGCACCTTAAGCACAAAACACACACACCTTAAGTTTTAACAATTATTCACCTTAAGCACAAAACTCATGCACCTTAAGCACAAACTCATGCACCTTAAGCACAAAACACACGCACTTTAAACACAAATCTCACGCACATTAAGCACAATACTCACGCACATTAAGTTTCAACAACTACTCACATTAAGTACACAACACATACACCTTAAGCACAACTCCACGCACCTTAAGCACAAATCCCACGCACATTAAGCCAACCGCACCAGAACCTAATATATATATATATATATATATATATATATATATATATATATATATATATATATATATATATATGGGCCTAGCCCGGGCCGGCCCAGGCTTGAGATTTAATTTATTAAAATTTAATTTCAAATTAAAAAAGTAATACAGTTTTGAAACATTCATTTTTCATCCAATCAGAATGAGTTTACAATATAATTGAAGTGCCAAAATAAGATCATCCATTTTGGTTTCTCATTTGTAAAAGGGGAAAAAAAATCCCTTTTAATCACTTTCATATGTGTCTTTAGTTATTTTAGTATATCCTCTAGTTTCAAAATACACCCCTAACTTTAAAGGAAAAGAGTCAAATAGACCCTGAAACTTTACCTAAAAAGTCAATTAAGCTCTTAAACATTTTAAAGTTGCAATTAAATTCATCAACATTGTGTTTTGGTGTAATGAAGCCTAAAAACCAGTTAGTGGCTTGTTATCACATGTCACTAAAATTCTGAAACCCTCATGTGCAAATTTTGATAAGAAAACAATCGACGACCGGTGAACGGTCGCCAGTCACGGTGAAGGAAGGCGACCCAGATAGTCGCCTTCTCACTCTGGAAGGCGATGTTGGGTTGCCTTCTTACTCTGGAAGGCGATGTTGGGTTGCCTTCTTACTCTGGAAGGCGATGTTGTTTAGATTTATCACATTTATCAATATCTAATTAAATATGAGTCATGTTAGACTAAACTACACAATAAAAATCTTAGTCCAACCTGACTCACATCTAAAAAATAATAATTGTATTTATGTATTTATTTTTATTATAATAAATTATAAGTTAAAATTTATATACATCTTTTTATTATAATTACTATTATTAATCTTTATAACTATTAATATAAATAATAGGAATAAGGTTCAAATTGGCCACTGAACGTAACGTGAAAATGCAATTAGGCCACTGAACCAAAAAAAAAAAAAAAAAAAAAGTGCAATTAGACCACTGAACACTCCAAATGTATGCAATTTCACCGGATAGCAGGTTACCATCAATTTTAGCAGGTTACCTGCTTACGTGGCAGCAGAGTTGGAATTTTTAATAATTTTTAATAATAAATTTAAAAAATTAAATAAATAAATAAAAATAAAACCACAGGGTCGGCACTCACCCCGTCGTTTTAAAAAAAAAAAAATTATTTTTTTAAAAAAATTATTATTAAAAATGCCAACAGTAACCTGCTAAATTTGATGGTAACCTGCTATCAGATGAAATTGCATACATTTAGAGTGGGCCTAATTGCACTTTTTTTTTATTGCACTTTTTTTTTTCGTTCAGTGGCCTAATTGCATTTTCAGGTAAATAACTCTGTAATATATTTATGCCTACTTACATTTGAGTTTAAATATTTTTTCACTTTGTTAAGTGTATTATAAGGAAATGGGATACCCTACATTTACACATTACTTGCCTCAAATGAGGTTCAAACCTTTCACCTCACACTTAGGCAATCGTTATATCCTACACCACGGCGCACATAGCACTGTGCGCCGCGCGCCCCCAAAACGACGTCGTTTTGGGGTAGTGTTGGGAGGCGCGGTAGGAAGTTGCTGAGATTATGTGTATTTGTTCACAATGTTATGTGTATTTGTTCACAACGTTATGTGTATTGGTTCATACAGTTATGTGTATTTTTTATACAATTATGTACATTCTTTTTATACAATTATGTATATCCGAATCAGAAAATTTGTGTGTATTATGTTAAGAGTTGATGTGTATTATGTTAAAAGTTTATGTTTATTATGTATTATGTTAGATTATGTGTATTATCTTTTAAAAAGAGTGTGTATATTTTGTTATATAATTATGTACATTCATGTATAACATTATGTGTATTCTAGTATAACATTATGTACATTCTTGAACAGCGGGTTTTTTTTTTTAAAGAAAAAACTACTGCCATTCACTGGGGCGGGAAATTTAAAAAAAAAATTAATTAAAACGACGTCGTTTTGCATCTGGGCGCATAGTGCAACGCGCGTCGTGGTGTAGGATATAAATTGCCACACTTAGGGGAGCAACCCGATACCAGTGGACCACAAGCCACTTGGTATATTTTTTCACTTTGTAAACAATAGTGAAGAAATGTAAAATATTTTTAAATAGAAAGTTTGATATTTAGAAATAAGGTAAGCATAGTACAAAAATTAGATTATAAAATTTCATTTTTTAAAAGAAATTTATAAGTGTTTTCAAATTTCAAGCATTATTATATTTTGTAACGGGTTCAAGTTGGCCGAATTTGCCATATCGAAATCCAAAATTTGAAACACTGGTATACTGCCATGCATTCTGGTCTGTCTGATAAGTACATCTTCTTATCAATATCTTTCACACAAACTTGTGATATAAGTCAAGGAACTTATTCATATATACTACACTTTAATCTTTTAAAATAACAACAGAGAGGTACTGTACTTCACTTGCATTTTGGCTACAGATAGATAGGTAGGCAGAGAGAGGCTTTTTTCAGTTCTTGAAATCTAGCTAGGCTTTAATTTGTGGTCACTCTCTCTTTATTAAATTTAATTTAGAGTTAATACCCGATTTAATCTCTCAACTATTAAGATTTCACTACTTTGGTCTTAGCTTGACTTTAAAATTTGCTCAATTTCATCTCCAACTATGCAATTGTTAATTAAAATGGTCATAATCAGAACTATTTTGATTTCAAAAAAAAAAGACTACTTTAGGTAAAAATTATATAATTGAAGATGAAATTGAGCAAGTTTAAAAGTCGATGATCAAAATTGTGAAATTCTAATAGTTGGTGGACTCTTTAATTTAGTAATAAACTCTATTCTTAAGTAAGCTTTTTCCAAAGTTCCCCTTTCTGCCAGTTGTTTCTCTTCACTTTTTCCATCACTTTCCCACTGTTTACCTTGGATTCAATCCAAGAAAATAAAAAAGGGTCAATATCTCAAGTATTGATCAAGACTCTTTGTTTTTTCAGTTGGGTTTTCTTGATTTTTTTTTTCCTGTGACTTTCTCATTTCCTATGATTGGTTACTGAGGATCAAAGATCCTTTTTTTCTTTTTTTTTTTTTTTTTTGTTTGAAGTTTGGCTCTGCTGTATTGGGTTTGATGATTTAGGTTGTTTGCATTTGTTATCAAATGAAAGGTTGTTATGTAAATTGTAATTACATTAAATATAATTTCCAATCATTTCATATATTCTCTGTTAATGGTGTCTGTCCATACATACAGGAAATGTGTAATTGTGTAAGTATACATATTAGCATATATTGACAGCTGACATGGAGGAATCTTGAATGTTCCTTTACTTTTTTTTCCCCTTTTAAGCTGTCTGATCATCATTTTTGTTGCTTTTCTTTTTTAATTTTTAATTTTTCATATTTCCTATACTATGCCCTTGCTTTGAATGTGTATGTTCTTTTTCCTCATTTCTTTTTCATAGATAAAGTGTTTGTTCTACTTCATAGTATTCTAGTTTTTGAGGGTACGATGATGCCTTGTTATGCTTGCTCAGATCGGTTTTATTCGGTTTCTTCCTCTATTAGTCCTATCGAATCTGCTGTTTAAAGGTTGTTTTTGTGAAATTGTTGGTCTTTTTACTTTGTATAACCCGAGATTTTCAACCCATTTTACTGTTTTTGTTCTATGAAGGTGAGAGCTGGAGAGGATCCTAAGCCTATTTAGAATAATAATGTCACTTAGTAAAGATCTTATCGTCCTGATATTACAGTTCTGCAATGAGGAGAACCTAATGAAGACTGCTCATATGTGAGATTCAATTTTGCCATTTTTTATTTCAAATTTCGTAATTCAATCGAGTCAACTCCGATTTTGCCTTACAATTCTTGGTTGGTTAGGTTGGAGCGGGAAACTGGAATTTTCTTTGATATGAAACATTTTGAGGACATAATTCTCGAGGGATGCTGGGAAGAAGCTGAGAAATACCTTTCTTGTTTTACCGGGGTTGATGACAACAAATATTCAATCAAAATTTATTTTGAGATTAGGAAGCAAAAGTTCCTCGAGGCTCTGGACAGGTATGCTTGTAGGTTAGTTTGTGCTTTCATATAGTAGACAGTAAATTCGGTTAAAAGAATTGCTAAAAAAATTTATTCGATTGGATTATAGAAATGATTGGGGGTTAGCGTTAGATATCCTTTTGAAGGATCTTAAAGTGTTTGCTGCATCAAATGAAGAGCTATACAGAGAGATGGCATTGCTTTTAACCCTTGATGACTTCAGGTTAAGATAAGCATGAGGTTTTTGTAAGCATTTTTAGGATTTTGATCGAAATCGTGTTTGTCTGATGTGAAGAAATCTATGTAAGCAGAGACCATTCGTCGCTATCCTCGTATGGGGATACTATGTCTGCTAGAAAATGTTTGGTGATTGAACTGAAAGCCATTATTGAAGCGAATCCCCAGTTCCATGGAAGGCTAACTTTTCCTCAACTCGGTAAATCAAGATTAAGGCGGCTTGTCAATCAGAGGTAGTTTAGTGTATGTTTTTCAGTTGGATCTCGTCTTCAACTGTAAAGTATGCATAACATCGAGTTACTGTCTGTTTTTTACTTTCATTGTCAAAATTACAGCTTGAATTGGCAGCATATTCATTGTGCAAATCCTCAACCAGAGCCACAGATCAAAACTCTATTCACAGATCATAAGTGTCCCGAGCCTGATCAGTCAAGCGAGGAATTTCAAATGGTAAAAGTGATTATTGTTTTGTAATTTTCTTCGTGCCCCGTTGTTGAGACACATCTTTGATGTTGCATACTCATTTTTCCAGCCCCGAAAAACGATTTCAATTTCAACCCCGCCTTTCCCTTGTTCTTCCACTATAAGTGACCACACAGCTTCAGATCAAGTGGTTAGAGATGAAACTCTTACAAGATATGGTATGGTTAAAGTTCGGTCTAATGCTTTCCATAGATACCATACCCTGCTATTCTACAGCTCAATTGACGGTTTCCATTTTAACTGCAAATTCTTAGGTTCACCGTTCGAGGATGTCAATGATTCTGGAAGTGTCATCACTATAACCTCTACTGAGGCATTCAATGAGGTAATACTATGCATAACTATATTACTTATATTCCAATTTCATTATCTTAACTGAATTTTTTCATCATCGATTTCACATTTAAGTTATTTATCACCCAATTAATTATGTGTTCTTGCACTTAAACAGAAGGTGTCACCTGGTCCTCCTAGTCAGTGTCCGTCTGATAACTTTCCCAAGGATGTAGAACGCGTTTTAAATCTGGGCTCCTCTCCAACGAGCATGGACTTTCACCCTATTCAACAGATTCTCCTACTAGGTTTCTTATATGTAAATCTGATTTCTTTGGTGTAAAGTTCTCGATCCTTAAAAACTTGTGACTAATAACAATCTAATTGTACGTTCAGTTGGAAACAGTGTTGGAGACGTAGAATTGTGGGATGTTGGTGCAGTAAAGAAGCTATTTTGGAGAAAATTTACGGTTTGGAAGACAGAGGCCGTCTCAGCATCATTTCTGGTACACCCATTTTAACCGAGCATTAATTGTTAAAAGTTTTTGTTTTCTTTTAGAATATGGCGTGATTGTAAGAACTAAGAAGTGAGCATACTCATTCAGGAAGATATAAACAAAAACCCGCATATCTCAGTTAATCGTGTACTGTGGAGCTCAGATGGTTCATTATTTGGTACGTTTTTGCTCTGACTGAACTTCCATAAGTTACACGTACAAGAATCATATTTGAATCGTGAATTTACTATGTATAGGAGCTGCATATTCGAGAAACATTGTACAACTATATTCTTACCATGGCGGTAGCAATTCCATCAGAAAGCAACTAGAGGTAGTCTTTTTTAACATAACGGTTCTGTTTTGTTTCAAGTGCTGACTATTATTTCCCAGATCGAGGCTCATGCTGGCAGTGTAAATGATCTTGCGTTCTCTAAGCCGTATAACCAACTTCTTGTCATAACATGTGGCGATGACAAGTTAATTCAGGTAAATTTACTCTTTTTTTTTTTTTTTTTTTTGAATGTCTGATCTGTAGATATCAACTAAGGTTAAAGTTTGAAATAAAGATGCCGAGAATCAGCATATACTTGACTATTCTTTATTCGAGGTTTGGGATGCTATAACCGGTGCTAGACGATATACTTTTGAAGGACATCAAGCCGCTGTCTACTCCCTGTGCCCTCGTGAGAAGGAAAAGATTCATGTAAGTTACCTGATTTCATAATTTCACAGCTCGCGATTTTTATGTTATGTTTTCGGGATATGTCATGTGATCCTTCTAACCGTTGTGCCACAGTTTCTATTTTCAACATCGAATAATGGCGAGATAAAAGCTTGGTTGTTTGATAACATGGGGCCGAGGGTTCAATATGATGCTCCTGGCCATTCGTGTATGAGAATGGTTTACAGCGCTGATGGAAAAAGGTGATTGGTAAAATTATCGAACTGTTTTGTGTTGTTTCGTTTACTTCATTATGTGATGCCAAACTGAGCTTAAAAGCTTGTAGGCTCTTTTCGTGTGGAACGAATAAAGATGGAGACTCGTACATTGTGGAGTGGAATGAAACCGAAGGCTATATTACAAGGGTTTACAGTGGCCTTTCCAAATGCTTTTCGGGCATTTTGCAATTCGATATAAGCAGCAATGGATTACTGGCTGCTGGAGATGACCATTTAATCAAAGTTTGGAATGCTGATAATGATCAAATCCTGACAGTGATCGATGCCGGTGGAGACTTAACCGTATGTATTCAATTCTGGCTCTAATATCACTTGTTAGATCAAGCGTTTACCACTACACCAAAAGTTATAACGCCACATTTTCGAGAGGCAGGGTGCTGGACTTGGCCCTTCACCGGCCTCTGTCCAACGTTTCTAATTTGTTGACCTTTTATGTTCATATCCAGGGAAGCCCCTGCATTCGCTTCAACAAGAAAGGCAGTATGTTGGCCATTTCTGCAGATCGCAACAAGATCAAGATCTTGGTAAATGAGTATGGACAAAATTTGCTTCAAACTTCTGTATCAGAATCTACTCAAAAGGTACTCATAATCCACTTCTAATTCTTTCACTTGTTTCATCTGGGGACATGGAATTCTTTTCTTCTATTTCGACTTTTTCCTTGTCTAAAATGGTTAATGAATTTCTTAAATTAGTTCTCTCGTCACTTCAGGTTTTATTTATCCTTGAAATACACTGTAGTATGGTACAAACTACGTATCTCACTATCGAAATGGCAGGCCAAGGTGAACGAATCACCACATGAAAAGATTACCGATATCCCGGTAGTTGTGGAGCCTGGAGTTCATGTTGAACCTAACAGCATATTAGGGGCTCAGAATATTTCTAAAGTCGTCGAAGTTTCAAAATGCAAGTCCTTGAGACTTCCTTCTGAAGTTAAAACAGATAGGGTATGATCCTTTCATATTTGATTACATTGAAGAGTGCCTGTTAGATAAAAGCTTATTTAATCTGATTGTTGAGATTATGGACACTATCCTCCTTACCTTACTACAAGATCGACAAAAATTGATAATAATGTATTATAGCGCACTATTTTGCTTATTAACTTTGTTAGAATAAGCTTACCACTATGCCAGAAGCTATAGCCAGTAGCGAAGGCGTAACCTTATTCCCTTAAACTGCCACATTTTTAAGAGGCAAGGTGCTAGACTTGACCCTTCAGGCCTCCGTCCAACAATCCCCCTCTAGTCACCTGGTGCTGGACTTGGCCCTTCACCGGGCTCCACCCAACAAACTTGAAAAGGACTACAAGATTTCACTTGATTTCAGATATGGAGGTTGATGTACACAAGCTCGGGGAATGCCATTATGGCACTGGCAGCAGATGGTGTTCACCTAGTTTGGAAATGGTCAAAGAATGATATTAATCTGGGTGGGCAGGTAATCAATTTGAGTTGCATAATAAACTAGTTTCTTGGTACTTCATCAATCTTTTTGTTTTGGCTATGCAGATAGTGGAATTGTTTGGTTTTTTTTTTTTTTTTCCTTTTACATAATGTTTATCTTCAATCAAGTTACTGTTAAATGAGCACTATCTCTATTACTGCAGGCAACCACGAAATGCGTACCTGAAAAGCAACCCCGGAGTGGATTGCTTATGGTCAACAGTTCCCCGCCTAGCAGTAACTCTGATATGGTTTCCCCATGCTTAGCTCTGTCCAAGAATGATTCTTATGCCATCTCGGCATCTGGAGGAATGGTTTCTTTGTTCAACGTGATTGCGTTTAAGGTGTTCTTTTCTACTCTATCTGCATAATTTTCTTTGGATCGGAGTATATAAAAGATGTTATTATATATAATTCTAGTCATATACTGCAGAAAATGAAGAGTTTCATGCCTCCTGCACCTGCAGCAACATGTATTGCGTTCTACCCGCCTGATAACAACATAATTGGTGTTGGATTGGAAGATTCGACTATCATCATCTACAATGTCCGCTTGGACGAGGTAAAATATTTGTTCTGTATGAGAATTATTGAGTTTGCATTAATTGAAGATCTGTTCCATCTCAACTAAAAGGCTAAACTGATAGTTAGTTGGACTGTTTATATATTATATTATATGCTTAACAACTAACGTTCAAAAGACCTTGCCGGTTATACTACAAGAAAGAACCTGCAGGCTGCAGCTGACTTTATCGTCGCCTTTCTGTTACAGGTCATAAGCAAGTTAGAGGGACACTTGAAAGGAATTAGTGGCCTCGCGTTCTCTAATTCACTGAATGTGCTCATCTCGTCTGGCGTTGACGCTCAGGTTTGACCTTTTTTCGTGTTAGCAAAATGAACTCTACCGCTTAATCTGGTTGAAATAGTTTGGCACTATTTTTACAGAAAAGCACAAAAGTTTCCATACCTGAGTTTCAGAATCATATGCTTAGAATGAGATAAATTCAACTTGAGACTGAAAAAGATTTCTTATTAGTTACCTTCTCGATCGTGCTAGATCGTTGTCTGGGATTGCAATAACTGGGAGAAACAGAGAAGTACAGTGCTGCAGATTTCTCCAGATTGGTCACCAACAGAATTATCAGAGACCATCGTCCATTTCCATCAGGATCAGAAACGCTTCCTGGCTGTACACGAGACGCAACTTTCAATTTATGACACTTGTACACTACACTGTGTAAAGCAGGTATTTCTCTCTTTCCCCACCTAAAAAAAGAATGTGATGCATTCTGATATCGAGCTTGTTCTCTCGAATTTTTAGTGGACGATGAGGAACTTCTGCACCCGGATATGCCATGCAACATTCTCCTGCAACAATCAGTTTGTGTATGCTGTCATGAGAGATGGAATTGTATTGATACTGGATGCTTTTGATCTGTGTCCCAGATTTGAGATTGATCCCTCCACTTACATCCCATCTGATATAAGGTATTTGGATACTACTGCACCATGTCTGATTCACGAAATGAATAGGTTTATCCCCATATTTAGTTCATGGAATAGGTCGGAAATGGAATAACATATATTCTTGGAATGAGCTATTCGATCTCTTTACTGGGAGAGTAGCCATTCCTAGAAGCTCACTATTAGACTATTAGTTATTCCCAAGCGCTCGAGAAGAGCTTTAGGAATTGTATTATAATACTAAAAATACCTTTTACACACACATATGTGTATAACATTCAGTATTACTATAATACAATTCATAAAGTCTATTTCTTCAGTGAATCAAATAATGGAATAGTATTCATATTTCTTCAAAATCCATTCCGTGACATGTAGTTAAATCTATGTTGTGATTTTTGGTTGTAGATCCAATGGGCTCCCCTTGGTGATTGCTGCACATCCTCGAAAATCGAACCAGTTCGCTCTGGGTATGAGTGGTGGAGGAGTGCTGGTGGTTGAGCCTGAAAAGTCTGAAGATGAATGGGTGGATGACAACCAAACCGAAATAACAGCAAAATTGTAGTAATAGGATTATAGGAAGAAGACATTGACAAATGAAGTTTTGGTGTTCGTTTAGAACCAGAAAATGAGATCCTGACTTGTCTGTCAGGTTTTTACTTCAAAACAGTGTTGAATGCATTCTATTTTCAGTACGTTATGAAGGTTACAAGTTTTACCCTTTTCAAGTAGTTTGATTTTGAATAATTCAATCTTAATGGCTAAATCATATACCAAAAAGCACCCACCATTTGGTGCAAGTATAGACCAAAAAGCACCCACCTGATCTATACAAGTTTAACTTGTTGGTTCAATAAGTAATATTTGGGACAAGAAATCAAAGATCGAAACTCGACGACAATAATGTAACTATTATGCTTAAAGTGCTCAGATCGCTAGTGCACACCGATATTTACATCCTCTCAAATGCTTTGACGGGCTGTGGTGTCGGTGCTATTGGGATTGGAAATTCAACCTTTTGGAGCGAATATATAGACATATATACGTGGGCAACTCCAACCAAGTTGGTTAAACTATTAACTTGTAATTAACTTAAGAGTTAATACCATTTGAGGTCCTCCGAGTATAGTGATTTTGTCATATTTAGTCTTAAACTTTCAAATTGACCATATGTGGTCCTTCGACTTTCAAACTTAACCATTCGTGATCCAAGTTAACCACACATGGTCCTTCAACTATTAAATTTTAACCAACCATGGTCCTTTCATGAGGACCACTACTGGTTAAATTTCGAAACTTGAAGGACCATGGGTGGTTAACTTGGAACACAAATGGTTAAATTTGAAAGTCGAAGGACCACAAATGGTCAATTTAAAAGTTTAGGACTAAACGTGGCAAAATCACTATACTCGAAGGACCTCAGATGATATTAACTCTTAACTTAATAACCAAAAGGTTATAAGTTGGAGTCCCGGCAGGAGCAGCCTATTGATTTTCTTGATTTGAGCAGGTCAACTAGTTTGGAATTTATCCAAAGCACGACCTCGAATATTGACTACAAGTTTTTTTCATTAAAAAAAAAATGAATTATAGACATACATCAATCCTGTATGTAGTAAGGCACAAACTATTAACTGAGATAAGTATATCAAATGGTTGTAATTATTAAGTAGATTTAAAATCTACTATCTAATCTACAATTCTAATAAGAGCAAATAATGTTAGGCCCTTAACTAAAAAAAAATGTTGGTATAATTATTTCTTAAAACGAATGGTTCATATTATTTTGATTTTAGTATTTTTTTTTTAATAATTTTCCTTATTTACTCTCTATTATATTATTTTCTTCTCTTAAATAACTTAAATTTCGTTAGTATAAACTTTAGTAACGGAATATTCCGTTAACTATTTATTATTTTTAACTTACTCATTAATTTCTAGAGTTTTTTACACTTTTAGTCCCACAACTATAGTGGCATTGGCATAATTGATCCACGACTTTTGAACCTTGCAATTTTAGTCCACGACTATTGATTTTTTTGCAAAAATGGTCCTTCCGGCCACTTTTCCGTCAAAATTTCACCGGAAAAAAAATTCTCTATTTTTAGCCGGGTTAAAATTGACATTTTACTTATCTCAAAAAATTAAAAGAAAAAAATTGATATTTGACTACATACAATATTACTGGGCTACATACTACTGCCCCAGGCGGCAGAGTACATGTACCACTCCAATAATGCTGCTGCCGGATAACCCAACTAGCCCGGGGAATGCCACGGCCGCTCCGCCGCTTACTGACAGCCCTGCCTGCTCCAGGAACTCCGCCGCCTGGGGCAGTAGTATGTAGCCCAGTAATATTGTATGTAGTCAAATATCAATTTTTTTCTTTTAATTTTTTGAGATAAGTAAAATGTCAATTTTAACACGGATAAAAATGGAGAATTTTTTTTTTCCGGTGAAATTTTGACGGAAAAGTGGCCGGAAGGACCATTTTTGCAAAGCAATCAATAGTCGTGGACTAAAATTGCAATGTTCAAAAGTCGTGGATCAATTCTGTCAGTGCCACTATAGTCGTGGGACTAAAAGTGCAAAAACCTCTTAATTTCTATAAGAAAGGTCTTAGGTTCGAACCTCATCCCAATTAGAGTTGGCATAATTGTTAAACATATACTATGAATACGTTAAAATGTATTTAAAAAAAAAAAACTATTTTTTTAGGCGCTTTGCGCAAATGGAATAATGCTCAATGATTATTTTTAAATAAGTATTTCAAAGTATAGAGGGATTCATTATGCAATGAGATTATGTTGCAGGAAGCTTTAGATTTGTCTTGCTGTATATGATTAAAATTTTAGTTATATTTATTAGTGGTAGTTTTTCTCCTACATGTTTCATGTTACTGTGAGATGTGTGTCGTAGGTTATCATGCGAAAGTATTGAATAAAATATTAATATTTATTATATTTGTATAAAATACTTGGTAAATAAATAAATAAATATATATATATATATATATATATATATATATATATATATATATATAACATGATTTGTATTCTAACTTTGATATTTAATTACTAGATAATGTAAAAAAAAAAATAATAAATAAAAGACAATTGACAATATAGTGAATATAATAAATTAATAAATTTGAAGATAAGGAATTTTTGAATTGTAGAAAATAGAGATAATATAACTAATGAGATTATATATATATATATATATATATATATATATATATATATATATATATATATATATATATTTTTATAATGAATAATTTTTTTTTAAAAAAATAAAGCATTATAGACATCTAATTCTAAATTAATTAAATGCATATGTATAATTTTTTTTTTGTAGCTACTAATTTCTTTAATTTAACAAGAGTAATAAAGTGTCGTTCATACTTTTCATCAACAATAATGAAATTGATGATTTTTTTTTTTTAATTTCTATCCCTTGTTGAGACAAATTGTTTTGAGAGTTTGTCAATGACAATTGCTACAATTGCTGTCAATAGATGATGATAATAAATAATTAAAAATATATGGTTACAATATATATTGTTATAATGATATAGTAAAAATTAACTTAAAATTTTCTTTAGAAGTTTTCATGCATTAATAAAATTATGATGTTTAAACTTGTTCAATTGGAGCTAGTAGGATGTTAACGGCAATTTATTGCATGGACCATGAATATCAGGTACATTTTTAATATACTAAGAGTACATTGTTTTTGTACTGAATGTACATTATTTTTGTATTGAAGATACATTATATAAAATAATGTACCCCTAATATATTAAAAATGTACTTTATGTACATAAATAATGTACCCTTAATATATTAAAAATGTACTTTTTATTTATGGTTCACACAATTGTGTGGACCATGATCCATGCAATAATGATTGGATGTTAACATTGTCAATTATTTGGAAAATGGTCATTGATGTCAGACTAACTACAAAATTGTTGATCATAAATACAATTACACTTAGACTCTTAAATGATATGACCATTTTCCAAAGAATTGACAATGTTGACATCTCACTGGCTCCAATTGAACAAGTTTACACATCAGAATTTTATCAATGCATGAAAACTTCTAAAGAAAATTTTAAGTTAATTTTTACTATATCATTATAACAATATATATTGTAACCATATATTTTTAATTACTTATTATCATCATCTATTGACAGCAATTGTAGCAATTGTCATTGACAAACTCTCAAAACAATTTGTCTCAACAACGAATGGAAATTTAAAAAAAAAATCAATAATTTCATTATTGTTGATGAAATGTATGTACGCCACTTTATTACTCTAATTAAATTAAATAAATTAGTAGCTACTGCAAAAATATATATGTATATATATATATATATGTATTTAATTAATTTAGAATTAGATGTCTATAATGCCTTTATTTTTTTAAAAAAAATATTCATTATAAAAAATTTAAAAAGAGATATAATTTCATTAGTTATATTATCTTTATTTTCTACAATTTAAAGATTCACTACCTTTAAATTTATTAGTAATTTATTATATATTCATTACATTGTCCATTGTCTTCTTTTACATTACCATGTAATTAAATATCAAAGTTATAATACAAAATATGTTTTATATATATATATATATATATATATATATATATATATATATATATATATATATATATATATATATAAAGTATTTAATACAAATATAATAAATATTATTCCGTAATATTTTGTTCAATACTTTCACATGATAACTTACGACACACATCTCACAATGCATGAAATATGTAAGGGGAAAACAACCACTACCAAATATCTATGTACTTGTAAGATAAAGATTTCATAGTACAATTAAGATCTCATCATATACATAACAAGGCAAATCTAAAGATTCTTACATCATAATCTCATTGCACGATGAATCCTTGTATGCTACCAAGTACCACCAGTAACCCAATTGCAAATGACATACTCAGGGACGGAGCTACGTTATGGGGCAGGGGGGCCCTGCCCCCGCCACCCCACCCCATTCCCACCCCTACCCTCACCCTAAATTTGTTAGTAAATATGTATGTATATATTGATATAGTAGAGATAAAATACACTTTTGGCCTCCCTCTATTTTTAAAAAAAAAAATAAAACAATTTATTATGTTTATATTAAATGAACTCAAAAAATATATTAAAGTTCACTATTTTTCATTAAATAAAAAGAAATAAATCAAATAATTAAAGTCACCATTTTTTTATTATCTTATTTCTTTTATTAAGATTTTAATAATGAAGGTCATCAAGTATATATTTTAATTTTAAAAAATCTCCAAATTAGAGATATATGTTTTGGTTTTATTAGTTATATATGTTGTTGTTGATTAATTAATTAGTGATTTATTGTGTCTTAATTATTTATTTATATTTTTAAGATGTACATACATTTGTTAGTTTAAAACTTTAAATGATTAGTTTTGAAATTGACAAAATTTAATATTGATTATTTAATTGGTCTTAGTTTTTGTCTTTATCTCTCAAATTTTAAAATATTCAGTTAATTGGTAAAATGAATATCAGTTAATTATGAAAAAATTTGGTGACAAAATAATTGACAGAACTTTTTATTTGATGTTAAGTGACAATATACATTTAAATAAATGTT